TATATATATATGCTCCATCCCCACAAAAAACTAGTCAAAATAATCTATTATACGTTGCTTAGAAGCACAAGTAATTTAAGTCGAAAAGAATAAAATTTTCTGCATGGAGTAACAAAAAGGATGACTAACCTGCAATTTGAACTTTGAACTTGCTGTTATGAAGGAGAATAGAGTTTTCTTTGTATTTGTAAAAAAAATCTGAATATTTTTAGCTTTCGGGAGATATTAGCAGACTAGCGGACAAGATAAAAAATTGGGAAAGACCATGATTTGGGGCTTCAATTAATAAAAAAAGTCTTGACTTTTAAATTTAATACATTTCAATTTTTTTTTTAGAACTTTTGAGTAATTACCAAGCTGACTTTTGAGAATTTGGGTATTATACGAAGGACTTATTCAACAAATTTTATTTTAATTTGAAAAAGTCTCCGGGGCTTACACCTCAAACGCCCGGGCGTACGCCTTGAACGCCCTGGCTTATGCCCTGAATTGTTGAGTGTACGCTTCTTAAGACTTTCGCCCCATACTATCGTCTCAGGGTATTTTTGGTGCAAGACCTCGCCCCAAAAACGCCTTTTAAAACAATGGTAGCAACTATGATAAGACACCGAGAAACCAAAAAGCTTGTAAGCCATGAAATACTTTCAGCGTGCAGGCGTAAGTATGCATTTTTATTCTTTCTTCCTAATTTTTAAGTTCTTTGTCTTTTTTGTTACGTGTTCGATTCTTGTTATGGTAATAGATTACTAAAATTATGTTAAAAGAACTTATGGATCATCAATAACTCCTATATTACCGGAGAACTTATCAAAGAATTATATTATATTTAAAGTACAAATTTTTTTAGTGAAGTGTTATTTATTTTTTATCCTTTAAAAATTAATTTTATACTAAATAGGATTATAATTTAATTACTTTTTTAATATTGAAGACAACCCATAAATACAATATTTAAAGGCAACCCACAAACACAATATTTGAATTATTGAAAATAATTCATATGGTATTTCGTATTAGTTAAAGAACAAAAACAACATCTTATAAGTTAGCTGACCTGTTGTGTTTTCTATAATTAACTTAAATACATATGAACATATAACTTTTCAAGAAATTTTTCGAAAAAAGCTCTTAAATCCTAAAAGGTTATGTGTTCTAACTAAAAACAAAAAAGAAGCATGATAATTTGTAAAGTTTAAGCAATAAAATTATTAAACTGAGATAAATTTTAAGTTGAATATATTAACCAAGATAACTGAGGACCTTTTATTGGATAAAGTTTTTTTCTTTATTGAGTTAGTTAAATAGAATCAACATTTATCATTTTCAGGAGCTTACATTTTCTCTTTAACTTTTATTTCTTAGTCAGACATAAATTTTCATATAATTTAATGTACTTTTCAAAAATATTATATTTGTTCAGACAAAGTTCACGCACAACACACATGCTAAGACTAATAAATAACTAAATATGTTAAACTTTGTATTTAGCTAAACATCTTCATATAAAGGGAGTCTTTTTCTTTTTGTGGGTTAAAATTTTTAAATTGAGAGATGTCCAAGTAGGAGAAAGAGAAGGAAGAATCCGACAAGAACAATACAATTTTTCTAGCGCTGAACTACCACATAATTCACCTTAGCTACACACTCCAAAAAGATTGAGTGGGTAAGGTAATTTTTATTCGCAAAAGATGTCTCACTAGGATTTGGTCCATAGTTCCGGCTAGCTTATATAATCAACCTTTAGAGTATTGATTACCACTTGTCATATATTACACCATGCATGTGGTCAACTTAAAGGTTAAGTGCACAGATAACTATTCTCAGGAATGCTATTTAGATATTAGTCAGTATTTATTTTTTAATGAAATTTAAATTAAAAAACTTAATTTCAGGACAATTCAAAATATTTTTATCCTGAAATTTTAAACTGAAAAATTAAAATTCAGAACACACTGGCTAATTCTTAAATAACAGCCCTTCAGAGTGGTTACATGGTGTCATTTCTACCAAGTTGATGACAATGGGCCGTTTATCAATTTTGGGAACTCTCTATTTTTGAAAGGTATCTTTGTAGAAATAGTCGGCACAAATTCATTATTTATTTTTCCTTGTCGATATGCATAAATTATCTATTGAATATATATAATAATATACATACTTTATATGTATTATATATATATATATATAAAAAAAATATCTGTCAGTTACTTTTAATTTAAGCAATTAGGTAAGCAAATATTTGGGTTAATTATATCCTATTTGGCCAAGTTTTTCTAATTCTAGAAGCACTTTATTTTTTATTTTTTTTAAAAAAGTATTTTTTTTTCTTTTTCAAAGTTGAAGTGTTTGGCCAAGCTTTTGGAAGAAAAATGT